CTAGCATCGATTATCCTTCTTTGGCAAGACAATTACGATCACGCCTTTCCAAGCAGGTGTGGTTGGTTGGTTTGGTTTTTTTTTTTCTTTTTTTTTTTTTTTTTCTTTTTGGAAGAGTAAGCACTGAAAAGCTTCCCCGCTGAGTCAGACGTGAGGTCCGTCTGGAATTCTGACAGCCACGGCCCTCCCGGCAGTGCCCCTTCCACCTCCATCCAAGGCACGGAGACTGGCCAGGGGCTCCGGCAGCCGCGCGTCCCTCGCTCGAGCGGGTCCGCTCGGACCACCGAGATCCCGAGGCCGCGGCGCCCGGGCTCCCACGCCCGCCGGCCCGGCTCGCTCACCATTGGAGCGACTGCCCGACTCGTTCTTGCAATAGCCGCAGCGGTAGAAGTCCTCGCCCTCGAAATACTCCACGATGCTGGGCGAAAGAGTGGCCCAGGAAGCCATAGCCGCGGCCCGGCAAACGCTCTGAAGCCCCGGCCCAACACCAACACCGCCGCCGCCACCCCACAATGCAACGCGCCGCCCGGCGCCCCCCCGAGGCTCGCGCGAAGCCACTTGGGCGCCCGCAGGCCCGGCTAGCCCCGCTTCTCTCGGAGATGACGCCGCCCGCGCCATCTTCACCGAGGGCAGCTTTCCGCTATTTCCGTTCCTTCTCCGTGACAGGCCCCCATCGTTAGTGAGGGTGAGACGGAGAGACGGAGCAGAGAGGGGAACAGGCCAGGAAGAAACGAATGGGAAAGGGAGGCGGGAGCGGGAATGCGGGCCTGCTCTCCCTCAGGGGCCGGCCCGGGGCGCCGCGGGCGCTGCAGGGGTTAGGCACTAGGCGGCCGAGCCAGTCCCGTCGACAGGGACACTCACCGCACGACGCCTTGCCCTCCTTGGAGTCGCAGTAGCCGCAGTGATAGCCGGCCTTGAGGCCCTTGTACTCTACCACCGAGGCCATGGCCGCCGAGAGGGTCCGCTCGGGCGGCCACGCCTCTCGGTGCCCGGGGCCGACCTCGGCGAGCGCGGGGCCCGCGGCGGGGCGGGGTGGAGAGAGCAAGGCCGGGCGCGGGGGGTCCCGGCGTCTCAGCCCCGCGCCCCGAGACACGGCCTCCCGGGGCGCTAGCTCGTGTGGTAGTTGTGCCCCGAAGCCAGGTGTGGGGCCAGTCCTCTCGGTGCTCCTCCGTCAAGCCCTCCCACAGCTGCGCATTATCAGCCCCATTTCACAAATAAACAAACTGAGGGCTGGAGGTTGAGATACACCCAAAGGCATTTCCTGCAGGTCTCAGATTCAGTTACCCTCTCAGGCCGCCCCTGACCGCCATGCAGATAACTTAACTGGAGCCTCTTCCAAAACAGCTGGCACTTACTTAAATGCCCTAGATACTGGAAGGGAAGCAAGCATTCCATTAATGGGGAGGGGTCGCGAATTGGTGAGCATTTAAGCTTTTAAAAGAAACAACTGTCAATTAGAGCCAGTTGCTGCCTTGTACCGCTACAAGCCCGGTGCGACATCTCTTACAACTTTTAAAGAGAAGCTGGAAATCTAGATTTTTTTAAATACAAAATTTTAAAATATCTTTACTTAAAAAGAATTTTCTTTTAACTCTACAGTTCAAATAAAACATTTACGGAGGCTGAATTCAGCTGATGGGCTTCTAGTTTGCAGCCACTTTAAAGAGGATGTTTTAGGGAATCACAATCTGGGGCAAAGTATAAATATGAGTACCTCCAACAAAGTAATATTCCTAAATCTTTCCCTTTGTGCACACAGATAATTTAAGCCTGTCTGTCCTCATAGTTTTCCCAGCCAACAATAAAGCTGATTATCTTTTTTGCAATGTTTAAAAACGTGAAAACATGAAACTCAGAAAAACAGAAGTAAACTTTTGAAATCAGAGGTCAATTTCAACATTCCTGACCCCGGGGTCCACTGTGATGCATATGTGCCTAGTCGAAGAGGGTATTTGGTGGCCTGGTGACTTAGTATATTGCCAGGCATCACTTGTGTCTCACACAAACAAAAGGAACCTAAGGAATGGCCACACAGTACGCAGGAGGTTCTCAGGGCCCTTCTAGGTTTCTCCAGCTCCTTAGACTTGAAGCCTCCTTGCTACATCTCAGTTCTCATGTTCTTCAGACAGGCTTCATCCATCTGGTTCTTTATGGAATATTTGACTAGTACCAGTCCTTTCCCAGACAGGCTGTCATTGTGAATGAAAGCAAGGGCCTGTGGAATGAAACAGAGAGTAGCAGGTCATGTTCTGGACAGAAGGCAGGAGGCGAGGAGGCTTTTTGGTCTTTTCTTATATTCCTGTCCTTATATTCCCTTTGAAGGCTCCACCTTATCCTAAGCCCTAGACCAGCCTCAGCAAGGCCACTCCAGGACATACCAGCCTTGAACAATAACACTGAGAATGTCCAAAGTTCTAGGCATGTGTTAACTCGCTTAATCCTACAGTGACTTCACAAGATAGGAAATGTAGACCAGAGAGGCTAAATCAGTGGTCTCCGACTTTTTTGGCATCTGGGACCCATTTCATGTAAGACAATTTTTCCACAGACCGGGGTTGGGGGTGTGGCGGAGATGGTTTCAGGATGATTCAACTGTATTACTTTATTATGCAGTCAAACCTCTGTGCTAATGATGAATCTGTATTTGCAGCCGCTCCCCAGCACTAGCATCACCACCTCAGCTCCACCTCAGATCATCAGGCATCAGATTCTCATAAGGGGTGCAACCTAGATCCCTCGCATGCAAAGTTTACAGTAGGGTTTGTGCTCGTAAGAGAATCTAATGCCACTGGCGATCTGATAGGAGGCAGAGCTTATGTGGTGATGCAAGTGATGGGGAGCGGCTGTAAATACAGATGAAGCTTCGCTCATTTGCCTGCCACTCACCTGCTATGCAGCCCGGTTCCTAACAGGCCACAGACTGGAACCAGTCCACAGCCTGGGGGTTAGGGATGGCAGGGCTAAATAACTTGGCCAAGGTTACCCAACTAATAGGGGACATATAGGAGGGAGAAAAGATAATAAAAATTAAAAAAAAATTAAAGTGTAAAAGAGATCAACACATACTAGGTTTAGACCTATGTGGGACAGTGTTCCTAGGTGTCTTTTGCTGAAGGTCAGAGGCAGAGTTTTCATCTGCCAGGCCCAAATGAGAAGAAAAAAAAAAAGCTTCATTTAGTTTCCCCCTTTTTGGAGGCAGAGGGGAGTATTATTAGAATATCTTTCTATTTATGAGATAGACAGTTGTCTTTGCTTTTAATTTTCCTACTTGAGAGAACAAAATGCTGACAACATTATGTTCAGTCCCATTGACATTTTTTATATTATCAGATGTTGGATGTGTACTGAGTCTGCAAAGCACAAGTGTGAGGCTCAGTGCTAGGCTCTGGTGATGTGAAGGATCTTTGCTTAGTGATGGTAGGCCCAGTTCATGTTTCTTAAAGGGAATAAAGTGAAACACATTCTTTCCCTCCAAAGAAGATGTGAGTAGATGGGACCTAAATTAAGCCAGAGGAAAAAAGGGTAAGATACAGATCATCTGAGGGCAGAGAAGAGAGCACTCTAGGAAGGGGGAGTGAGTTGTATGAGCAGAGGCAGGGAGGTGGATGGGAGCCCCGGGGATCTGAGGTGCCAGTGGGGTCCTGGAAGATCCTTAGGAAGCCTAGATCGAACCCCTCCCTCTACTCTCTAGACCTGGCTCTCCAATGTGATAGATACTAGCCTCATATCCTATTGAGCACCTAAAATGTGGCTAGTGCAACTGTGGGACTCAATTTTTACCTTATTTTATCTAAATTAATTTGAATTTTAAACCTACAACAGTACAGAACACCAAGCAGGATAAATGCCCCCAAAATCTACACATAGACTTATCATATTTAAACCTCAGGAAATCAAAGAGAAAATCTTGAAAGAAGCTAGAGGGAAAAAAGAAACCTTCAGTATAGAGAAACAAGGATAAGAATTACATCACACTACTTGTCAGAAACCACAGAAGCAAGAAGAGAGTGGAGTGAAATATTTAAAGTGTTGAAAGCACAAAAAACAGCCTACGATTCTGTGTCCAGAGGAATTATCCTTCAAAAGTTAAAAAGAAGTAAAAACTTTCTCAAACAAAAATGGACGGAAATTGTTGCCAGCAGACCTGACCTGCTTTGCAAGAAATGTTGAAGAAATTCTTCAGAAAGAAGGAAAATAATATAGGTCAGAAATTCAGATCTGCATAAAGAGAGAGCATTAGAGAAGGAATAAATGGAGGCAAATACATTTTTAACCTTAATCTAACAGCAATTGGCTAAAAATAATAGCAACTTATATTTGGTAATTATAGCTTATGGAAATAAATGACAGCAGTGTTATAAGGGATGGGAGATAGAAACTGGGTATAAGGTACTTGTACTACCCATGAAGTAGTATAGTGTTATTTGAAAGAGAATTTGGATTATTCATAAATGTATGCTGCAAACTGGAGAGTAACCATTTAAAAAAGCAAAAAAGAAGTATAATTAATATGCTAAAAGAGGAGAAAAAATAGAATCATGGTAAATGCTTAACTAATACCAGAGAAAGCAGAAAAAAAGTGGAAGACAAAAAAAGAAATAAAAAGAGCAATAAATAGAAAACAGTAACAAATATGGTAGATATTAATCCAATCATATCAATAATCACTTTAAACATCAGTGATCTCAATACCCCAATTAAAAGACAGACTGTCAGCCTAGATAAAAAAAAAATAAGATCCAACTATATGTTGTCTATAAGAAACCCACTTTAAGTTTAAAAACACAGATAGATTAAAAGTAAAGGGATAAAGATATACCATGCTAACACTAATCAAAAGAAACCTGGAGTAACTGTATTATTTCAGAAAAAAACAACAAGGAAAATTAGGGATAAAGACAGGCATTACATCATGATAAAGAGGTCAATTCTCCAAGAAGACATAACAATTCTTAATGTTGTATGTACCTAACAACAGACTGGCAAAATACATCAGGCCTTTTCATAGAGCTGCAAGGAGAAATAGATGAATCTATGATTATTATTAGGAGACTTCAATACCTCTCTATCAGTAATTGAAAGATCCAGCAATAAGAAAATCAATAAGAACACAGCTGAATCAAATAGCACCATCAGTCAACTGGATGTAACTGGCATCCATAGAATTCTTCATCTAACCATAGCAGAATACGCATTCTTCTCAAGCTTACACAGAACATTCACCAAAATAGACTACATTCTGGGCCATAAAAAACACCTTAACAAATGTTAAAGAATAGAAATCCTACAATGTCTGCCCTCAGACCACAGTGGAATTGAACTAGAATTTAATAACAGTAAGATAACTGGAAAATTCCAAAATACTTGAAGATGAAACACCACACTTATAAAGAACACTTGGGACAAAGAAGAAATCTCAAGAGAAATTTAGAAAAATGTTGAACTAAATGAAAATGAAACTACAAATTAAAATGTGTGGGATACAGAAAAAGCAGTGCTTAGAGGGAAATTTATACCATTGAA